AAAAAAAGTACCATGTGCCACGATATTCCCCAGTAGTGATTTCCTCTTACAAAGGAAAAACAGTTCTGGAAGTATAAACTTAAAGAACACAAGTTCAGGGAGAAAAGGATGTCACTAATTTTCACAGTTTAATCTGAGATTTTTTTCATTTATGACCAGAGCTAGATTTTCCCAGAAGGTAAGGTCCAGGGGATTCTAAATATTTAAGAAAACTATACAGAAAACAAAAATTGAATTGAAACACCCCCCCACACACTTGCGAGGTTGGCACAATGCCACTAAGCTAAATCCCCAGCCCTGAAATAAAAAATTCTACCTGTAAATATTAATCTTTTCCCTGATAAACAGGAAAAGCACCACTATGACTCTGTTTTACCCAGAGATTTCCCACAGCTCCTGCCCTTTTTCTATTTTTTATTTTGAGATAAGGTCTCAACAAGTCTCCAAGTTTGCCCAGGCTTGTGATCCTCCTGCCTCATCCTCCTAGAATGCTGGGGTTACAGGTGTGCACCACTATGCCCAGCTCAAATAATACTTTCAATAATGCTATTGTTCATTTACTAAGAGTTAAGAGACCCATATGCTCAAATTAAACTCACTGACCGAGTTCTCTCCAGCTTCACATCCAATAAGCAAAGAGAGGAAGTGCATGCCTTAAAAACACCTTATTCCTCCAAAGACAAGAGGGGTTTGCCCAGCAGGTTATTCACCAACCAGTCAGAGCAACTATGCTCCACAGCACAGAGCCGCCTCAAAGAGCGCACGGACATAAAGACAACAGCTCAGCCTGGGCCTACAAAGGGCCAGAACCCCATATACAGTTAGGAAAAAGCAATCCCCTCACAATGTCACCATCTTTCCCCTAGGCAAAATAATGTTTAGGCTCTATAAGGGTTGGGAAGAGGAAAAGCTAGGAAATGCCCATCATTTCCTTACCTTGTTTCTCTTTTTCTTTGAGTGGATCAGTATTATAGACTCGAAATCCGTTTTCCATCCCACATGCAAAGCAACCTGAAGCAGAGAGAAAAAAATGGGTTAGCCCCAGAGGGCAGGGCAAGTGGTATGGAGTACAGCACCTACAGACTGCCAAACCTCACGGACACACGATGCGTGCCCAGCCACGTCTGTGCTCCTCACAGAGATGTGACCAAGTGACGCGTGGCCTGCATCACTGAGCATGCACAGAAGCCTCTGGAGTCCTGAACACTGGCTCCCCTGCTGCAGGGGCTGCATCCCTGTGGACCAATCTAGGCCTCAACCCTGAATTCTGGAAGGAGCACACGTGCTGTCTCGAAAAGCCACCTGCCGATGAGCATTCCTTGAACACTCGCCTCTCACGCTCACTGGCCCTGCTTCAGGAACACACTTCTTGTGTGCCTCATCAGGAACTGTGCTAATCACACACAGCAACAGTCAACAACAGCCACACGCGAGGGAAAGCAGGCACAACACAAGCAAGACTGGCCAGTATGGGTACAGCAGGTGAGGGAAGGGGGCAGGAGCTATCAGAGGCAGAGGGCAAGTCCCAGACTCCGGAGACCAGGAAAGGAAGCAAGGACTGCTCTTTTCTATCTCAGCATGGTCTACTACAAAGAGTGAATCTCTCAAATTCCTCAAACTCCTGTCATGGTCATGATCTCCAAGTCACTCATCCAGGATGTTCATGGTCTAAATAATAGGCAGTCAAGTTTCAAAGACTATGTTGCTTTGTTTCCTGCAACCTGGACTCTAGCCACCTTAGGCATGACCAAGACCACACTGACGTCCTTTAGGAGCCACGTCCAACTATTGGTGCAAATGAAGCTTTGGCTCCGATAAAAACCAAACCCTTCAATTCTTCTTCACATGAAATGTTGTAAAGCCTGGTTCCAGCACAACTGGTTTGAAAGCCAGTGTTAAAGCCTCTTAAATTCCATTGTCCTGGTTTTGATCTACCTCTCTGGTTGTGAAACCAGATTATTCTGTCCCATCAGCCTTCTTTCCAAATGGAAAAGGTATACCTATATTTTTGGTCCAACTCATGTATGAAACCACTGATCAAGACAGATCCATGACGACTACTCCAGGCAACCAGAGTCTATACTGTGCAATCTAATGCTTGCACCCTGAAATGTAATTTACCTGGGCTTGGATTTTTTTTTTTTTTTTTAAACAGGGTCTCTCTGTGGAGTTAAGGCTGGCCTTGAACTCATCATGTAGCCCAGGCTGGCATCCAACTCAAGGTGACCGCCCCCCACAGTGCTAAGCCAAATCCCTGGCCCTACCAGAACCCTTTTAAATGATGATGAAGTCCATTTGAAAAAGTAAAAGTGAAGTGTGGGAGACACATGCCTAGCAAAGCACAAGGTCCTGAGTTCAATTCCTGACACCCCACCCCCCAAAACAGTGTGGGAGAAGCTGGCTCTGCAGAGCAACTATGGGGCAAGTAAAAAGCAAGATAAAAGTACACCCTGGAGGATGAAAGGTTAGCTATCATGAGGACAGCCATAAGGGCCTGAAAGCATATTTCTTAGTGAATCATTGTATCTCTGTTCATTCCTCAAAAGGTTCTGATTTTATCAAATCTACTTTAAAAACTTACTCTTCTAATGAAAAAACCAAAGGTTCAGGCAGATTCTGAACTACCCAATGTCCAACATCCGGCTCCTGAAGTGCACTCTGTCTCTGTCCCTGCAGGGGGCCAAATCAAACCTCCCAGGGCCCATGAGAGCCACACAATGGGCCTTCCCGCCACTCCAGGACCCAGAGGTCCCTCCCCAGGGGCCCTTCTGTAAAGCAGTCTTGCCTTCCTCCAACTGAAGAAAAACCTTTCCACACCTGTCTTACACGTGCACATATTCTGCCTCTTACACCTTGGTTTAAGACATAGTTTAGCTTTTCTACTGCATCACCAGCACACAGGGGTGGGGAGAGGGTGTCAGATTTTCTTTGTACCGGGGATTGAACTCAGGTCCTTGTGCTTTCGAGGCAGGCTCCAGAGCCACTGAGCTAAATTCCCGGCCCGGGAGTCAGATTTTCACTGTATTCAAAGTAACTCTCTAAAACCCCAGAAATACTTAGCACATTTAAAACCAAATACATATATGCCAAATGGGAGACAGCCAAACAATGCACTACCTAGAATTGTTCATGTGTTGATCCCCAGCACTGCAAAATAAAATTAATTTAAGATTATCTTCGCAGGAGCAGGGATTTATTTAGCTCAGTGGCGCTGTGCCTGCCTCACAAACGCAAGGTCCCGAGTTCAATCCCGGGTACCAAAAACAACAACAAAAAGATTATCTTTACACATATAGTCCCAGCAACCTGAGGTGCTGAGGCAGGAGGATCACTTAAGCCCAGGACTTCCAACCTGGGCAACATAGCAGAGCCTTGTCTCAACAACATTAAAATAAATAAATTGTAATAGATATGAGATCATGTAGCGTTCTTGGTTTCCCTCTAAAATCTTCTGTTGATTTCCAATCAAAAACAAAACGTCCAAAACCAAGAGGTAAAAAGCTCTTGGGAATCTGCCCTTGAAGAGCCACCGGTCACTCCTTTCTTCCTAGCGATGAAGCTGAGGGGAGCACCTGACCAGGCAGAGCAGCAGCGCACGGGGTGTGCGGGACGCAACCCACCGGACTGAGATGCTCGAAAGGAAAGCCTGAGGGGTCTTTCCCTCAACCAAGCAGGAGAGCGCCGCTTGTTAGAGTGGCGGGACCCACGCTAAACTGACAACCAGCGCATTCGCCCTGATTCCTCGACCCAAAGAACCGAAAGCTTACGACCCCGCGCAGGCCGGGAGTGGTGGTGCACCCCTGCAACCCCAAGCACTCGGGAAACAGGCAGAAGGATCGGCACGAGTTTGCGACACAGTAAGTTTAAGGCCAGCCTGAGCTACCGAGCAAGACCCTATCTCAAAAAAGTACAAAGAAAAGAAAGGAAAAGACAAGACCCCGTGCAGACTGCAGAAGCCTGCAGCTCCTAGAATCCGATAAACCGCGTCCCGAAGGCCGTCCCAGTCCGAGCAGGACCCCGCCCCCGCCTGGTCTCCACTGGCCTAAACCGCTCGGAGTAGCGTCGCGCCCCGCAGGCCGGGCCAGCGGTCTCCTGGAGCTGGGGAAGGTGGGCCTGAAAGCGTCGGAGATCTCGGGAACTGAGCGGGTCCGAGGTCTGGACCAGGGCTGGGAGCTTTTAGAACAGGGCCGGCTCGAGTTCTGGGCCGGGGCCGGGGGCCTCGGGGACAGGGCCGGGCTGACCCGAAGGCCCCGGAGGTAGGGCCAAGCCGGG